AGAGGGAGGGAGAAAGGAAGGAAGAAAAAAAGAGGATAGAAAGAAGGAAAGAAAGAAAGAAGAAAGAAAGAAAGAAAGAAAGAAAGAAAGAAAGAAAGAAAGAAAGAAAGAAAGAAAGGAAGGAAAGAGAAAGAAAGAAAGCAGAGATAGAAGAGAGAGCAAAAGAAGAGAGAGCGAAAGCAGAGAGAAGGAAAGAAGGAAGGAAGGAAGGGAGGGAGGGAGGGAGGGAGGGAGGGAGGGACGCTCCAACCTTCCTAAAACCAGGAGATAAAACTCCCATGTGGAATGTTCTCTCCCCTTCAACTGGAAGAAGGAAGACCTTCTTATCACCAGAGTTGAAGAATCGAGGCCAAAAGAAATCTGTGCCAACAGTCTGTTAAACTAACCCTTATCTTCCTAGCCACTTCTCCATAATCAACTACCTCAACCCAAGTCCCCTTGCTTTGTCACATTTTCAGAATGTGTTAGTCTTTTTCCAACTAAGTATATAAGTTGTCAACTCTAATTGCATCTTTGGGCTTTTACTTCCTTATGAGGGCTCCATGTCCTGCAAAATTGAAATTAAGTAAATTTGCATGCTTTTTCCCTCCTGTTAATCTATCTTATGTAGATTTAATTCTCAGGTCCAGCTAAAAACTCTAAGAAGGTAAAGGTAAAACTGTACCTTCCCTACAACCTTAACATGCTGTCTCCATGCTGTCCTCACACCTCTCAAACCCTCCTACTTGGTTTTATTTTCTGGTTTCTCATTTTCTCTTTGCCCTTTTTCTTCTTTATTCTACAAATTATTCCCTGATAATCACATATATAAGGCAGGAAAAATATTTTTTTCTACCCTTCTGAGTTCTTAGCTGGGACTCTTTTTAACAAAAGGCAGATTAACAAGAAATAAGCAAAAGTTTATTAACAGGTATATCTCATATATGTATGGAAGATATCAAGGATAAAATAACTAATTCTTAAAGAGGTGGCTTAGAATTCATGCTTAAATAACATCTTCAGCTGAAAACAAGGAAGAGTATGGGGCCGGCCAGTTTTAGGAAGCTTATGATAGATTAAAAAAAACTAGTCAGTTAAGTTCATTGTGTAGATTTCTCTGATGCCCTCTCCAGGACGACAAAAGTCTAAAGTAATTTCAGGTAGTTAACTTTAGTTTTTACTGGTAGAGAAGGAAGGGACATCGTTGTAAATTTATGTCTTGCTTTTAGGTAAATGGGAAAAAGACAGAGAGATTTGTTTATATCTACTTCTTCTCAGTTGCCTTCAGCCCAAAAAATCCTATGCTGAAGTCGCACATTTTGGGGTGGCATATCCTGCTACCCTTCACATACGCTTGCATAAATACAAATACCATTGTTTATATCTTTTTAACTTTAAAGACAAAAGCATAGACACCAGTTGTACCAGTTGTCAACCTTCTTTGCTGTGATGTGCTTAAATCCTTATACAATAGTCTATTTCCAATAAGTAAAAGAAATGGCATTTGTATTACTAGTATTATGTTTAAGATTACTGTGTTGTCTTATGGTTTAGATTAACCCATTGCATTAGTCTCTTGTCACACTGCTAATGAAGGCATCCCAGAGACTGTGTAATTTGTAAAGGAATGAGGTTTAATTGACTCACAGTTCAGCATGGCTAGGGAGGCCACAGGAAACTTACAAACAGGGTGGAAGGGGAAACACGCTCATCCTTTTTCACAGGAGAGAGAAGAAAGAGAGTCATTTCATGAGAACTTGCTCTCTATCACTAGAATATCACGGGGAAAGCCAACCCCATGATTCAATTACCTTCAATAGGTCCTTTCCACCACATGTGGTATTCTGGGAACTACAATTCAAGATGAGATTTGGTTGGGGGACATAGCCAAACTGTATCACCCATATATTTCAAACTACACTCTTTGATGTGGTAACTAAAAGCTTCAACTATAAAGTGATTTGTGTTTCTTTTTCTTTATAAAATGTTATTTTCTGTGTTATATTTCCTTTGATATGTCTTCCATAGAAAACTAAGTTGTCATGTGCTAAGTTTTTTTTTAAAAGTTTAAAATTTAGTACTGAAAGAGAAATCAGACACAAACTTTAGATCAAATTTTACAATGTAGGAATGGAAAGGGTGTGATACTTTTCTTCCCCATTGAAAGGGTCCTAGTCCACACTCCTAAAACAAAAGAGAGGTTAACAAGAGAAAAGCATTAGAGATTTATTCAAAGTTTTACCTTGAATACATTAAGCCTTCAGAAATGAAGACTTAAAGATTCAGGGAAAACTGTCTATTTCTATGTCTGGATTGAAGATGGAATGCACAGCCATGTAGAATGAAGATCAGACTCTGGCATGTGGCTCATGGTCCTAGTGATGGCCTAATAGGTGTGGGAGGCAGGAGAATTGGCTTGAGTCCAGGAGTTCAAGAATGGATTGAGCAATGTTCTCACCACTACACTCCAGCCTGGGCAAGAGAAGGAGACCCTGTCTCAAAAAATAAAAAATAAATATAATTGGACCAAAAGACCATGACCTAATGGTAAGAGACTGAATATGGAAACCCAACAAGGCCTGTCTTCTCAGATTCTTCTTGGCTTCTCTGCGTGACATTTCTTTTTCCTGGGTATAGCGTAAGACCTTTCTGGAGTAACAGTCTTATGATCTACTTTTAAGACAAGGTAGGTCAGAGAATTTCTTTATTGCTAGCTCTTACACAGAAAGTCAGGTGACAGAGTAATATTTCTAGGTTTTATGGCTGGCTGTGGGGGAGAATGGTTCTAGTTCTATGATCTCTCTTAGAGAAGAGGAATTCTAGTTTCTATGGCCTGCCTTAGGGAGAAAGAAAAGCAGGAGAAAGAAGGGCAGAAGAAGTTCAGAAAGAGACTTTGCTTCTGAGGCTCTTTCATTGTCCTTCAGGTTCAAAGTAGTCAGCATGCCAAATCATCATATTTTGGAGTGTCATTTTCTGAGCCCCCAAACAAAAGCTTAAGAAGTTAGTTGACATATAATTTGATGTCATTGATATTCTCATTCAAATTTAATACAGTCATTGCAAGGAATAGTACCGTTTATAAATATGTTATAGTTCCAACAAATTTAGTGAGACCTATCCTGAAAGGTTTTATGAGTGTAACAAATATGTGTGATTAGTTCATAAATCGGCTGTTGTTTTATTTGTATAATATAAATTTTAGTTAAAGTCATACTGAAAGGAACTTACAGTCTGCAATAGGAAAGGTCACTGGGTAAGAATGGTTAAACAACAGAAGACACTATGAGTTTCAAGATCATGCTAGTTCATCCTGAACCTAGTGAATTCTATTAAGATGAGGAATAATACATAGTGCCTCTGTAGTGAGTAAATCTAACTGCAAGAAATTAAATCTGATGACCAGAAAAGGGAGCAATCAGTGTGCATCTCCGAAGTTTGCATGCAGGTAAATTGCCTTGCATTAAACTGAATTCAGTAGCTGAGGCAATTATTTTTCTATAATATTTTCCCTTCAGAGAATAACTGCAAATGATGCAGGTAGCAAACCAACAACCAAAAAAATGACCTAAATGTTTTATTATCAATAAAGTGCTATAACTATGAAGGTAAGTGAATGGCAAACCAACAACCAAAAGGAAAAATGTGTAACATGTTTTATTATTGATATAATTTGAGGCATACTTACAATGGTACTTTGAATTCCTTGAACTGAGGAAAATCTAAAACTGTATAGCAACCCTGCCTACTGATATGCACTGGGAATGTGAATACCCCTGTGATTCACTTACCATGTACAGCAGTGTAAAAGGAGGGTTTCCCCACTGTCATTTTCAGAGAGTCCAACCTGGTTACTTTCAGTGCCACCCATGTGTAAGTTCAAGGCTTTCCATTTCTCACTAGCTTCCTTTAAGTTTTCAGAGTTCCAACCTCAATTTCAGGCATTTAGGAGTATCCTTGGCCACTGAAGTGGAGACTGTCCTCAAAGTAACCTTGGAGTGCAAATGTGCCTCAGTTATGCTGCATAGCCTGAAGGCACCCTCTGGACCTCTCAGCAAAGGTCACATATGAATCATGCTCCAACATGGTCCCCTGACACTAAGACAGAGCTCACTCTTGAAGGGAGTGGAGGCTGGGAAATCAACAAAAGCTGACTCTGCTCCTGCATCCTCAGCTGCCCTCGAGACCAGTGTCCTGGCCCAGGGACTGCTTTGGCCTCTCTCCATCACTCCTTCTTCTTCTTCCTGAACCACATGGGTGGTTGCAGTCTTTGATTTATTCGGAAGTCAAAGCCTTGGTCCCTAATCTGTTCTTTTCTATCTATTGCTTATGACCAAAACATTATTATTTTAGCTCTTCATATGTTAACACCTCAGAAATACTAAAGGGCATCTCTTAAGGATCCAAAGCCAGACTATTTTTTTCCATGAAGAGCTCTGAAAGTATATTTTGAAACATAAAGGTTTAGGTTTGTCTTCTTTGTTCTTGTGATTGACTGTGGTGTAATTTTCTTGAAACAATTGAGGAGGAAGGACCTGGCTTTCTTGAGGGTATAAGGAATGATCAGCACTTCAGAGGTGGAAGACAACAAGTAAGATAGGATACCACATCATAGCTAAAAGTAAAGACTGCACAGGATTATGTCTCAGCTCTACCACCAATAGCTGTGCTACCATGGACAAATTAAGTTACCTCGATGCGACTTACTTTCCTCACCTATATCAGTTTCTCCTGACTACTTCAACAAATCATCACAAAACTGATGGCTTAAACCACAGAAATTTACTCTCTCACTGTTCTGAAGGCCAGAAGTCTGAAATCAGCTTCACTGAGCCGAATTCAAGGTCTTGGCATGCCCACACTCTCTCAGAAGATTTAGAGATCCTTGCCTCTTCCCACTGCCCATGGCTGGCAGCAGTCCTTGGCCACCACATCCCAGTCTCTGCTTCTATGGTCACATTGCCATTGCCTCTTCTTTCTTGTGTCTCATCTCTCTCTGCTTCTCTAAGAATACACATGAGACTTCCTCCGAAGCTTGGCGTTTCGTCAGTGGGGACCCACGCGGCTTCAGCATGCGTATCGAGAAGTGTTATTTCTGTTCCGGGCCCATCTACCCTGGCCACGGCATGATGTTCGTACGCAACGATTGCAAGGTGTTCAGATTTTGTAAATCTAAATGTCATAAAAACTTTAAAAAGAAGCGCAATCCTCGCAAAGTTAGGTGGACCAAAGCTTTCCGGAAAGCAGCTGGTAAAGAGCTTACAGTGGATAATTCATTTGAATTTGAAAAGCGTAGAAATGAACCTATCAAATACCAGCGAGAGCTATGGAATAAAACTATTGATGCAATGAAGAGAGTTGAAGAGATCAAACAGAAACGCCAAGCTAAATTTATAATGAACAGACTGAAGAAAAATAAAGAGCTACAGAAAGTTCAGGATATCAAAGAAGTCAAGCAAAACATCCATCTTATCCGAGCCCCTCTTGCAGGCAAAGGGAAGCATTTGGAAGAGAAAATGGTACAGCAGTTGCAAGAGGATGTGGATATGGAAGACGCTTCTTTAAAATCTCTGTAACCATTTCTTTTATGTGCATTTGAAAATGCCCTTTGGACACTTGGAACTGCTAAATTATTAGTTTATTTTTTACATAAGGTTACTTAAATGAAAAGTGATTAAAATATATCTTTTCTACATTGCCATCTATAAAACATCAGATATTACTGATGTTACAT